CTAATATAGGTAATTCTAAGTTATTTTCTATTACGAACGTTTTGGTCATGTCCAATTCGTTCTTATTTATGTAAAGTACTGTAAAAAGGTGTTCGATAACTACATCTGGATCGAACGGTAAAACTACTATATAGTATTTTCGATCTTTAACGGTTTTACTGCTAAAAATATTAAATTTATTGTACTGAAAGTCTACTTCTTCCTCTAGTAAATCGTCTATTATTTTATTGTGAAGGTCATATAGTTTATTTTGCCAGAAAAATGTAATTATATTTTTATTAGCTTTGTCCAAAATTTGATTATTTACAAATTGAATTTTAGAATAATCAATGACTGATTTAGTTTTATAAGAATCTATAAAAGTTTGGAATTCTGTTATAATTTCTTCTAAAAGTTCGTTTGATATAGTACTTGTTTTAATACTAGGAGGATCTTCGATGATATCTGAGATATCAGGAGGATCTTCCTCGATATCCTCGATAGGAGGGTCATTGTCTGTTTCTACGTTTGTCGTGTCATTATTATGATAAATTTTAGTTTGTAATTTAGAACATTGATCAAAATGATTAATTTTGATCCTTGAAAGAGCGTCAGCATTTTTATTTATTTTTCCCGGTTTGTATATGATTTCGTAATCATATTCCTCGAGTTTCAAGCGCCAGCGAGCGAGTCTACTCCCTGGATCTTTGATTGAGAATAACCAAGTTAATGGTCTATGATCCGTTATCAATTTAAATTTTCTACCGAACAAATAGGGACGAAAATGTTTTACGGCCCACACAATCGCAAGAAGTTCTCTTTCGATTGTAGAATATTTAGTTTCTGCAGCGCATAAGGACCGTGACGCATAGGCGATCGGAAGATCTTTGCCAATTGGTCCTTGCGACAGGATACCACCTATAGAATATGCACTGGCATCTGTCGTTAGTAGAAACGTTTCTTCAAAATTTGGATAAATTAAAATTGGTGAAGTTATTAAAGAGTGTTTTAAATGTTCGAATGCATTTTTGCATTCGTCATTAAAAACAAAAGGAACATCTTTTTGTAGTAACCTATTAAGTGGTTTGGAAATTTTTGCAAAGTTGTGTATAAACCTTCTGTAATATCCAGCAAGGCCTAGAAAGGATTTAATTTCCTTTATATTTTTAGGTACTGGGAAATTTTTTACACATTCAACTTTAGAGGGGTTAGGCTTAACACCTTCTTCAGTGATTATGTGCCCGAGGTAAGCTACCTCTTTACGGAGAAACTCACACTTTTCCGGTTGAATTTTTAGATTCGCTTGTCGAAGTCGCTTAAACACTTCAGTAAGTCTACTGATGTGTTCGTGAATTGTAGGTGAATAAATGATTATATCGTCCATATAGACGAGGCATCTCTCATTTTGTATACCTATTAAAATATTATCCATCACACGTTGAAACGTGGATGGCGCATTTTTCAGACCGAATGGCATACGTACGAACTCAAAATGTCCGTTTTCTACTGAAAAAGCAGTTTTTTCAATATCTTTTGGGTCAATCTCTATCTGGTGAAACCCAGACGCCAGATCGAGTGTCGTGAAGTATTGACATTTCCCTAATTGGTCCAATAAATCAGAAATTATCGGAAGTGGATATTTGTCGTCTACAGTTACCTCGTTTAACTTTCGGTAATCGATAACGACTCTATATTTTTGTTTCCCGCTAGCGTCAAGTTTCTTGGGTACCACCCACACACTTGACGACCATGGTGATATTGAATGTCTAATTATACCTTGATTTAGCATGTCAGAAATTTGAGATTTAACTTCCTCTTTATGAATTTGGGGATACCTATACGATTTTGTATAGATCGGTTTGTTATCGTTAGTATTTATTGAGTGTTTAATTTCGTTTGTGAATGTAAGATTATCGCCTTCAAGATAAAAAATGTCTGAAAAATCTAAACATAAACTGGTAATTTGATCTCGTTCTTCCTCGTTGAGGTGGTCAAGTCGTAATTGATTGTTTATTTGGGTTTCTCTGTTAGGATTTAAATTATTCTTTTCATGTTTATTAAAATTATTTATAGAATAATGTTTAAAAGGTTCTAAGATAATTTGATCAAAATTTATAGTTTTAGGAATTGCGTTAACATTTAGTACAGATGTAAGAAATTCGCCTTTTTCGTTAACTTTTACTAGTGCATTAGGAAGTCTAACATTTTCGATAACTTGACCTATTAATATAGCGTCAGTATTTATCAGATAGCTTTTTAATCGACATATTTTTTCTGTACGGGGTTCTATTGAGATTTCGTTATCAATAAAATCGTTTTTTATTATTGGTATGTTACTGTGATCCGGATTTTCTAAATCGCGGACTTGAAAGAGAGGAACAGTTTTGAAATTTGTTATGAGTTGTTTATTTTTGTAGTCAATAACACAATTATAATGGTCGAAAAAGTCGGAACCGAGTAAGCCGTCAAATTCTATATCCAAGTTGTGAATATAGACCTTATGAGGATCGTCTTTATTGAAAGGAATCAATGTGGATTCGTTTATAAGAATTTTTTGATCAGTTATGCCTTGAATTGTGAGATTTTCTCTTGACCGTCTTCTATAATTTTCGCAGGTTTTCGGTTTAAAAATTGATAAACCGGCGCCCGTGTCGATAAGAATATTGAATTTACTTGTGGCATCTTTTATATAAAATAAATTTTTTGAGTTTACAGTAAACGTGGGTTTCATATAAATTGTTGTTCCAGGCAATTTACGTTGGGGTTGCAACTGTTCAAATTCAGCGTTTGCATTTTGGGTTGCATGTTTTTTATAGGGTTTTGAGTAATTGAAATCGGAGGTTCGCCCTGTACAGGGCCAAACTGAAAATCCTGGTATGCAATGTTTTGATTTTCGAGTTCGGGATTAAAATTTGAATTGAATTGATCGGAATCATCATTATATTGACCGTTAGCAGTATAACAGTCGTTAGAGGGCACAGAAGATTCATTATCTTCGGACTCGAAAGTGTAATATTCGTCATCTTGATAATTCGAATCGTATTGACCGCTAGCAGTATAGCAGGTCTCATCGGTATAACAGTTTTCTTCATAGTTATCGTCAAAATATTCGGTTTCGTCGTAAAATTGATCATTAAAATTTAAATGATGCGTTTTTTGATTAATAAATCTATTTTGATTTGATTGCACAAAAGGGGGACGTTGGTTATTAAAGTTTGGATTAGGTCTAATTACTGATGGACGAATTTGTTGGTTACTAGTAGCATTTTGATTAGGCTGAAATTGTTGATTCGGTTGAAATTGTTGTCTTTGGAAATTTGGTTGACTTGAAAAGCTTTAGGAATTTCTCTGAGGGTTACTTTGGAAATTATTTTGAGAAGCAAAATGTTTTTGTCGACATTCGCTTACAATATGGCCAGTACGGCCGCAATAAGAGCATTTTTTTTCTTGTTGAATTGAAATCGGTTTGCGCGGAACATTATTTGGATTATTAGCGCGATTAAATTTTTGATTTTCGTAATAGTTTAATTGTAGTTCACGTTTTACTCGCATAATTGCAAATAAAATATCTGGAGGGTTACTAGCTCGTACAATTTGTCCGAGTTTCGGGTCTAGTCCAGTCAAAAGTGTATTAAGTGTCATAGTTTCGATTAACCTAGCTTGAGCGTCTTTTTGGTCAGGGGTTAACATTTGTTTGTAAATTGAAGCGTGCATTTTTGCGTTATGGCTTTGTAAACGTGAAATGAACATTAATGGAGATTCGCCAGGTAGTTGGCGAATTCTCTGCAGGTCGTGAATTAAGGCTGTTAAGTCTCTAGCGTCGCCGAAATGGGTTTCTAATAAATGTCGTATTTCTAGCCAAGTTTGCGGATTTCTAGAATTTATTAATTCAGAAGCTTTGCCGCGTAATTTATTTTTAATATGTAGAACGAGAAGTGCTCGCTGTTCGTCAACAGACATCCTATAGGCAGTACTACAGGATTGCACAAAATTTGCAAGAAAAATTGGATTACCATCATATTCTGGTACGATGGAAAATATTTCACTGAGTTTATAGGGTTCTATTACGTGGGGTACATGTTGAGCGGCACCGCCACCTTGAATATTAACATTATTTTGATTCGCGTTGTTTGCGTCATCTACGTTAGGGTTATCGTTATTCATTTTGAAAAATTATTAGTTATAGTAAAACACAAATTGAATAATAGCAATAGTTAAATAATCGAACAAGTTTTGTATCAATTAAATAAATTAAATTAATCGAGACAATTCAATTACTTACATGAATCGTAGCATCGATCTTCTATTCACGTCGTCTGCCAGGGGCTTCACTGGGTGTTCCGTCCGCAGAGCTCGATGAATTGGTTCTTTTTCTGGTTAAGGATGTCTCCACCAATGCTAGTTAGGGTAGCCGTGTTCTAGCACTGTTCGCAGAAATCCTACTGACTGCGCCACTTGTTAGATCGCATGGATCTAATTTAACTTTTTAAAAAAGGTAATACTTGTTAAAAGAATATATTGAGAACTATTACATGTTGTGTGTATAAGAAGTGAGTAAAAACTAAGGCATAATACAAAAGTGGTCCTATAAATAAGGTCGCATATGCTGACCTCAGCATCAGCAGAAGTGCAGGTGCATCTACGCTGCATTCTGCGAATGCTGTAACATAATATGTTTTTTAGAGAGGAAGTTGTTATCGCCTGTAATTTGATATATGAGATAAGCGTTATGAGACGCATATAACATACATACAATTGCCAGGTTCCGCCGATAATATAAAATTACTTATTCTATGATTGTATATGATACAACACTGCAGATAAAAATTATCGCGAAAATTATCAAAGTCATCGGAAGGGGTTTGATGTTTACCATCTCTCTGCCTACTAAAAGCCTTTCCAACTTCTGTCCCTGCTATAATAATTATTATTGTCATTATGAGATAGTATTAATTTCATATTAAATTGTAAAAATATGAGTAGTTATATGGCAGAACGAAAAATTATTAAAACTTTCTCACCTAAATCTAAAGCCATCCAATCTTTTGAATTTTCACCTTCCAATTTCGGTATGTCATCTTTAGAATCTCTTTTTTGTTTATACATTCTTCTTACAAACTGTGCTACAGCCTGCATATGCTTGGAAGAGTTACCACTGACTATACAAATATAATCTACATAATTAATTTCTTTTGGAACAGCCACCACAAAAATATCTTTTCCTTTTTCACGTTTAAGAACTTCTACTAGGTCTTCTATATCAAAGACACCAGTTATACCACCTACAAAGTAGAAATATAGAAGGTGTGCCCAAGGGGTTAGTTTCAATGGGAGTGTGTTGTACATTCCAATTGGGAGTGCATTGGGAGTGTATTAGGAGTGCATTGGGAGTGTATTGGAAGTGCATTGGGAATATAATGTGACGCTGAGCCAACCCTGTCTAGCAAGCGACCTTGAATCCTGCCACCCGACTCATGGTCGAAACCTTAGAATATAGTCAGGAAAGAGGAATGCTAAATGACCTTAGAATCGCGATAGTATCTAATTTTTACAGTGAATTAGAGGAATATGGCGAGAATTGTTTCCTGTCTACCAGTGACGTACTGTCATAAATGGGCGTAGAAAAGAGAATACATTTTCATTTGCATATTATCTAAATTTACCGATTTCTCTCATTTTAATGAATAGCTATTTTCTTGCGACAAGTTTGTATTTTTTTTATTAACCTTCATCATGTGAATAAATTTTACTTTAAAATTGCATGTTGGGTGGGATAAATATAGGAAAATATTTTTGGGATAAAATATAGAGGGGTTTCATTTGAAAAAACAAAGCAATAATGTATTAAAAAAATATATTGACTTTTTAACGTCTTTATTATGACAATATTTTTATTAATTTACATTTTACAAATTATTAAGGTTTGAAAAATAAATATTTTGTAGATATGCGTTAAAAAAAATTAAATATCCTATACTTATATTTAAATCAAACACCGCTGTGATATTTCTTTCTTAGATGTTTTTATTGGAGTATATATAAAACTTCCTAATAAGAGAATATCTGATCATTTTATTACGTAATATTATTAGTAATATTTTTTGCAGGATTTTAATTTTGCAAAAGCAGGTAAAACACCTTTCCATAAAAGGATAAGGTAATAACGATTCTATGAGTGCAAAATAGATTATTTTTAAATGTACATTCAAATATGATCGTAGGAATTTTCCAAGTATTTGATATCATTTGTAATACTTATATGAAACTACTGAACGTTACCTTTTATTATGTTTCTATTGGAAGAGGGCATCTTTTTATAACTGCATAATGGAACAACATAAGTTTTATCAAAGGTTTGTAAGTTTTTATAATTAAACCATTCGCCAATTTTTATAAGATGTTTCTATTAATAATTTTAATCAATTCCAGTTCTCTGCATTTTACAAGATAACTCTGTCGTCTAAAAAACTTACAATATTTCCATCTGTATTTGAACGACAAATTATTTAAAATAAAATTAAACAACATAGGACCTAAGACAGTATCTTGAGACATGCGATATGCTACTTATTTCCTTACTTAAGATATCATTAATTCTATTTGTGTTCGTTTTTGTAAATAAATTTGTAATAAATTATATGGAGTGCCCCACATTTATGCAATAAACTTCTAATATACGAAAAAAAAACGGTACATGATATAGTTAGTAAAGAATTTATTTACTTATATACTTCAACCGGACCACTTTTATTCTTGGAACAGCTGTTGGTAGAAGTCTTATTCTTAGTTTTGAGGTTCGATCAAAACAATCTGCTTTAAAATGGCGTGAACATAAAAAAATTAAGATATTTTGGCTGACAATTTGTTTGTTGCATGAAGTCAAGCCATAACTTTCTTTTTTGAGAATCTTTAGGAAATTTGAAAATTGTTTACTTGCAATGAATTTATAAATCTAAATTGAACAATAATTTATTCATTTTAACAACCATATAAATATCATAAAATTGCATAGAATTGTTTAAATAGAAGTATGTATACCCTATAAACCATGAGACTACGCCTATGAGCACAGTTGATCGCAGACGCACGTACCATGTTTGTTTACAAATTTAAAACATTAAAAATTTAAAAAATCTTTAAATGAGGTTGAAAATTGAGAGAACAAAATACTTGCTTATGAAATGTAGTTCCTTCCTTTCTACTTTTAGCTGTGCTCCACAAGAGGAACAACTGACCATATTGTCTTGTTTGTCTTCTAATGCGGAAAATTTAAAATTAACAGTAATACTAACTAAATACTAAAACACTAGACATTTTTTAAAAATGTCTACAAGACATACGCTTGATAAAAGTTTAAATTAACACATAAAACATCCAAATTATTAACAAATTTTAATCACTAAAATTATGAACCAATTTCAAAAACCATTTATCATGTGATGAGGAGTCATCCATAGTACAACATGTCTACCACTTTCATCAGATTGATTAGAAAAACGCGGACATGGCATGCTCCTTCCTGACTAATTATATTCTAAGGTCGAAACACTGGAATCTTCTAGGTATGCCGCTGGGTTTAGAGATAAACGGACCGCATCGAGAAACTACCAGAAAAAGCGATATGTGGCCGTTAAGTCATAGAGATGGAATTTTAGGACATTCGAGAGCGTCTAGAAACTACGAGTACAGAGTGGGCTTTGTATAAATAGTGCGAGTTCGTTGACGGACGGGAAGTCGTATTCAAAGAGTTGTGAAGATAAATTGTAATAAATAAATTAGAATTGTGAGTTATAATAGTGCATAAGTATTATATAAATTATTTGTACGTCATAAATAAATTGTAAATAGTGTGTTTTGGATAATTGTGCACATTAGGTACATTGGAAGTAACCCGCGTTTGATTTTATAAATAAAAATTAACGCATTCCGTAATAAGAGACTTTTGATTGGCATCCACCTCAAAGTTTCAAGCATTAGATTAATGGAGGTATATTTTGAACAGGATAATATTATTTGCATAGCCCTATTCTGCAGCTTCTGTAGTCGGTTCAACTCATTTTGATTTAGTAAAAAGAGTATTGTAGAGCAATAATTAAAGTGAGGTAGAATTATAGTATTATATATAATACATTTAGTCAACTTCTAAATAAGAAATTTAACTTTCTCGCTGTCAATCATTACCCCTAAGTATTTGAATTTTTCTACTAACTGTGTATAGTTATACTTGTTACTGATCAGCAAACATTTTGTTTTATTTGTGTTAATTTTCAACAAATTATTGCAACACCATTTATAAACATGTTGCAGTGTTTCATTAACAACTCTTACCAAGTTATCTGAATCCTTACAAGAAAAATATATTAGGGCATCATCAGCAAATAGGTGAATGTCCCATTGACCCTTGAAATCAACAATGTCATTAATATACACTAAAAACAACAGAGGACCCAATATACTTCCCTGCGGAACACCTCTGATATATTTAATTTCCTCTGACAAAATGTTATTTACTTTTAACTTTTGTTTCCTCTTACTTAGATAATCCACACACCACTCCAATGCTTGCTCTACTACACCCATACTTTTCAATTTTTTTATCAAACGGTTTTGATCAACAGTCTCGAATGCCCTTTGAAGATCTATAAAAACTGCCAATGTTAGATAGTTTTCATCAAATTTATATTTCCAATCATATAAAACACACTGGATAGCTGATTCACAGTTATGTTTGCTTCTGAAGCCCGATTGTATTCTAGTAATAAGTTTATTTTGTTCTAAAAAATTAACAATTTGTTCATAAACGACCTTTTCAATGATTTTTTTGATACAACTTAACATACAGATCGACCAACATAGCTTTGCCTCTGAGATGCGCAAACGATAAACAGAGAGGGTTAGTGTGCGACAAAGACCGACTTCGACCTTTCACCGGGACATTAATAACCTCTCGCCCCACTCCGCCGACCAGTCTACTGCACATCCAATTCTCAGAGGCAAAGCTATGTTGGTCGATCTGTACTAATAGGCCTTAAATCTGTAGCTTTATTTGCGTTTTTTGTCTTTGGAACAGGCACTACCATAGCAATTTTTAGAGCATTAGGTATTTTTAAAATTTCTAATGACGAATTTATTAAATTTAAAAGTGGTTCTGAGAGGTTGGGACAACAGTTTTTTAAAATATTTAATGTTAATGTCATCTGTGCTACTTTTATTTTTCATTGCAAAAAGAATGTCTCTTAAAGAATCCACTGAGCATAGTTGAAATTTTCCAAGAAAATGTCCATTATGTCTGTCTATAATTTGATAATCTGGTATTGTTTGATCAATCATACTAGCAATCGATTGGATACTGTCTATGTAAAATTTATTAAAAGCATTTGGCATGTCAAAAATATTTTTTATAATAACATTATTTTCTAGTTCCAGTTCAATTAAGTTATTCGACTTATTATTTTTTGGAATCAGAAATTCAAGATATTTCTACATTTCCTTTGAATTTTCCCTACTTTCATAAATATTTTTCTCTATGTATTTACTTTTTCTGTTCTAATTACGTTAATGGCCCTATTTCTATGCATTTTGTATTCATTCCAATTATTTTGTTTTTTCTTGTAAATAATTTTTATATGCAAGGTCTCTGTACCTTGTGGCAGCTTTTACATTTTCATTCCACCATTTTTTATATTTAAGAAATATTTTATTTGTTTTTTTAGCGCTACAGAATCTAATACATTTAAAATATTCATCTTATTTTATTATTTGTATGGGTCAATTTTGTGTGTTAATCGATTCAATCTAATATCTGGTCAGTCATTTATTTCATTTTAAAATGCACTGTCCAATCCTGTATTCCCCACTTCTCCGCTGCATGTGAAGCACAAGGCTCACACTCATTCAATACCAAATTATATTTTTTGTTCCTTTGTTCAACGTTCACCCTTTTCATTCCCACAACTCACAATACATGCAACACTCAAAGTGATATTTAGTTTCGTTCGCTCAATATTTCATTCATTCATTCCTGCAACATATATTTCCTTCGTTCCTGTATCCATGTTGTGATTCGATCATTCCGACTAGCAGGGATACAATCATTCAATACTCCTATGTGATTCGATCTTAGTAGCCGAATCATTCACGATTAACACATCTCTAATGCCTGCATACAAATTGTAGCCACGCCTTTCGTTTTTCAGAAATCTATAACCTAATATTATTTTGTAAGAAAAAGTATTATTGCAATATAGGTAGGCACAGAATTTAATAGATGATATCAATGGTGCATTGGGAGTGGATTGTGAGTGTATTGGGAGTTTTAAAAATTTCGCTCAAGATTAACTCCTCGGGTGTGCCTGTGTGCTATATTAAATTCCTGTTTCATAAAAAAGGAATACTTACGTTTCAAATTAAGACCAGTATAACGATCGTCTACTTCTTCATTTTCCTCCGCAAGTTGTGAATATTTTAATCTTTCTTCATAAACATCTAATATTATTTCTGAATCTTCATCGTGATAGACTTGATATTTAGAACTCATATTGCCTAAACTTTTTGATTCTAGAGTTTCCTGATCCTGAGTGTTTAAATCAACTTTCTTTGATTTATTTCTACATACTGATAAAGCTGGAGTTTTGCATGGGCAAAATGATACAGGTCTAGGCTTTATAAGCCTTGAAAAGCATCTGAAAGAAGGAATCATTATCCTAAAAATGTAAATATTTGAATTTAAAAGAAGTAAACATAACCAAACAATTCGACCTAACCTGTTCTTCTTTTTATTTTTGTTGGCCCTTGACGTTTGTCATAGATTGCCTACCTGTGGAAACTTTTTCCAATTTTATAATTAATCAGTGACGGCTTGTTACCTTTCTGGGGAGGGGGTCTAGTAACTTCGAATTAAATATTAAACCATCTTTGGAAAGTAACAGGTAGTTTGAATGTGAAAATTTGTCTTCTGATCCTTGTATGAGTTTCCTAATGATGGCTGATACTCAGACCAGTGTCGTCTTGTGGCCTAGTCTACGGAGGAAGGCTACTTATTAAAGGCATATATAAAATTTATCAGAACTTACTAAAGCACTTGAGGTCATTCAATAGATAGTATTTATATTTCTTATGTTTTTGTACATAGTAACTAGTCAATGTAGCATGTATACAGGGTGCCCAGACGAGCCACCCCGTATATTTCTTATCCAATAGTAATTGGAAAAATTACCCGAAATACGTCGGATGATTTTCTTTGGGGGACATCTTTTGACGTATATTTGAGGCTTGAACGAGCAACCCCTATGAGGGGGCGATTCAACCCCTCAAAATTGAATAGGGAAGAGGGCTTGAGTGATACTTCATTTGTATAAGGTCTTAGAAGCCTCTTTACAACGGTGTATGAAAAAATCACATTTTTTAAAAAAAATAATTGTTTTATCATGCTTACAATAAAAAAAATCAAAACTGCGTTTTTAAATCAAATGTTCAAATTGTCCTCCATTGACATCCATACAATAATAAATTCTCTCGAACTAATAAATGAAAAAAAATCAAAACATTTTCTTATCTTACCTTCATTTTTTGTTCTTAAAAGGTGTAAATCACGTTTTTTCGATCATTTCATGTGATAAAACAATTATTTTTTTTTAAAATGTATTTTTTTTCATACACCGTTGTAAAGAGGCTTCCAAGACCTTACAAATGAAGTATCACTCAACCTCTCTTCCCTAGGGAGTTGCTCGTTCAAGGCTCAAATATACGTCAAAAGATGACCACCAATAAAGTACCTCCCCCCAAATGTTCCGACTCTGCCCAAAATCTAATCAGTTCATCGCAGGCCGGAGTAAAGCTTAAGTTTAAAATTTGGTGTTTTTCTTTGTATCGGTTCATGAGTTATGGTGGACACACACACACACACACACACACACACACACACACACACACACACACACACACACACACACACACACACACACACGCACGCACGCACGCACGCACGCACGCAACCAATTAAATTTAATATTCTGGTCAAAATAATAAAACGGAGTAATTAATTTTTAACTAAACGGTTGACGAACTGAGAAGTTTATAAAAATAAAAGAAAACGGGTAGTTACGACACTCCCTTTAAAAGAATAATGAAGGTTACTATGACCACAGTTAACCTACCTACAATATGTAGTTCAGAAAAGGAAAAACCTACTATAAAATGGAACACATTTTTCGGAACCCCCCTGTATCCCAGTCCCGAGCGATCGACGCTGGCAATTTTCGTCGAGCGATAATGATATGATTTACGCAGTGTTTGGACAACGAAGGCGATGGTTATAGATTATTTTGAGATTTACCAAAGCCGATCAAAACGGTGTGTGAATTAATTTTATAGAAAACGTCGGACTTCGATCAATAATTAGTTGTTGACCGGAAGCGGAATGATTCAAATATAATTGAATGAATAAATAAAAGAAAAAGAAACTGAAATGAAAAATGCTGGGCATGAATCAAAATTCTTTCACTTGTCGGACGGGTGTCCCAAACTAATTGTAAATAAAAAATAATATGCGGTTTCCTACCTTAGAAAAATAAACGGGGGTTGTTCAGCAGTCTAACAATATCACGGTCACTAATTGAGTTGTGGAGAAGGGAGAAGAGCTTACGGCGGCCGGCATTCAAAAGAGGGGAATTATCAGTTGTCATCGAATTTATGCTTTTTCCCTAGGCAAGTTTGAAGACCGGTAAGCCAGAGTGGGAGATACCACCACTACAGCCGACTGTTTAACAGTTTCAAAATAAAAAAAATGTCCCTCTAGTACCTTGACAAATACGAGTAGATAATTGATACGAAATCGACCCTACAAAATGTCCATTTGGATTTCGGTAAATATAGAAATATTTTAACCTACGAGGGTACTCGAAATTGTTGAAAAACGGTAATTCCTGGGAAACAGAAATACGGGGGATTTTCTACATGTCCTCAGGCGGGAATTAATTGAAATATACATTTTAAAAATTAATTAAAAATAAAATTATTGACTTCGTCACAATATTATAAAAATGGCGTAATCGAACCACCCGAGGATATAAACTAACAAACACGGGAACACGCTAAGATACGAGTATTCTCAACCAAACAAAATGTTTTATAAAGAAAAATTTCCTTTTATAAAAAAAAAAAAAAATGGCAAAAAAATTATTATTTCTATTTCACATTGTGTGAAGGTGTATTCGAAATAATAATTATTAATGATGTCTAATAATTTTTGAACAGAGCCGTATGAAAGTTAGACTTGGATATTTTTTTTTAATAAAAATAGTATGGGTAGATAACATGCATTTTCATTTTACGAGGTTATATCAAATATAAACGGGACTGTTTGGATTAAAAATTCCTGAGCGGTTATTGATCTGGAAAAAAATTATGGGCAGTTAGCCTTTACCTCTGGGGAGGGGAGAAAACCGATAAAAATCTGTTTTGTCTACGTCCCAACCGCAACTCGGGTACCCGCGGTGTTGCCAAATGCCAATACGTCAATTTGTAAATGGCATGCGGTACGAAATATATGGTGGCAATACAAAAGATACTTTTACCAATATTTGTGAACATATTTCAGAAAAATATGCATTTTAATTAATTGTTGTGTTTATTAAAAAAATCAATAGGTACTTAGGTTTATTTGGTATAAGTAGCGATATTAAGCTGAGAAGCAAGAATGCCTATTCTTTGATCTGTATCAGTTGGCCGGGAAGAGGATTTCACTCACGTTCAGCTTGTAAGTATGTTTGCATTCATCACAAACAAATTCCATATTGAATTTCTCGTATTTCACTTTTATCACATGAAGGATGTACAAATACTAAGTTTAACAAAACATAACCAAACAAATTTAATTTACAAATTGACGTATTGGCAATACCGTGGGAACCCAAGTTGCCGTTGGGACTAGACTCTAATATCAGAATCCGCTCGCGTCTCTTTAGTATGCAAAGAAACCATGAGCGAGAAAGAAGTGCATATCTCCGTGGAGCAAAGGTATATAATAAAGTTTTTAGCAAATGAGGGCGTAAAACCAACCCAAATTTTGCGACGATTGCAGGTACAGTTTGGAGATAACACTCTGTCAAGAACCCGTGTATTTGCATGGCACCAATTTTCTGGAGAGCCTTAAAAGATGCACCCGTAAAGGCAAAGATGCGATTGTCAGCCGGAAAGGTAATGGAAGTGTTTTTTGATCGGCTAGGTGTTTTTCATGTTGACTTTCTACACGATCAACGCACGATTAATGCACAATATTGCTGAGTTACTGGAAGCTGCAAAATTGTCGTTTAGAAGAAAAAGGAAGAAGCAATCTGTCAGAAATATCATTCTTTTGCATACAACGCCAGACCACATGTGGCTAATGTCACGAGGGAAAAATTGGAAACACTTGGATGATTGGAACATCCTCCCTTTAGTCCAGACATCTCTGGTCCAGACCTTTACCCTTGTGACTTCCATCTTTTGGGACCACTCAAAGAAGCGCTTGGACACCAGCGTTTCGACTATAACAAAGCGGTGGAAGCATTTGTGCTCCAATGGTTACAGGAACGTCCGAAGAGTTTCTACGATGCTGGACTAAAAAAGCTACCAATATGATGGGAAAAATGTATTTCTAGGTGGCGGATGTATGTAGAAAAATAATGTATGTTTGAAAACTTATTTAAATAAAGCTAAAAAAATTTCGTATATTTATATAAATACGTTTTCACTTGTATTTGGGGGCTGTAGCCCTTACAGACAAGTCGTCACTGACCAAAGTAGAAACTTATAACTCCTCCATTCATAATAAAAATACAGTTAAAGACAAAATATGTTCTACTTTGATTTAATACAATATACAATTTTCAAATTAAAATAAATAATAGATCAAATTTAAACCAATCCACTAAAAAAATCAGAAGCGTTTTTAATATTCGATGATGGTAAATTATTTTTCAGTTCCTTTTTCTTATTATGTTTCTTGTGCTTTTGATCGACCTTTTCAAAGTCTTCAAAATACTGTATGTTCCAGAATTTAATGTCATTATTGTGACTGCTTGATGCTAAAAACTGTCCAGTGTTGCAAATATCCACATTTTCAACAGACAGATCATGTTGACCGACAATACCTAAATGTCGGTGAGGGAATAAATGTGTCGCTCTTAGGTTTCCATCTTCACATGCAGTTACTACAATGTTTTCTGTTATCGGTATCAAAGAATTAATTGCGGTTTTTGTTCCTGGAAAAATATCACTGTGAAGACCAAATTCTTCCCAATTATAGACAAACAGTTTCCCTTTTGATGATCCTGAAATCAATTTGGTTTCGGTTCTAAAAATTCCCAAGCAAGTTAGTTCTTCTTCATACTCTTCAGACTGCATATGAATTTTCCTAAAATTTTTAAATAAAGGTAAATATTTTTAAAAAGTATACATATATATCAATATGGTTTTTTTTTGGATGGCAATATGTTTTTGGTGAGTTATGAGTACATTACTTGGTCTAAAGGGACTTACATCTATAACTTACAAATCCTTCGTTTTTAGTGCTAAATGAGCACTAGGTTTATAAAAACAATGCTAATGCTGATTAAAAGAAAACCAAAAAGTATTTTAAATAATAAAAATTATTAGCATCCTTTGTGAAATGTTATATTGACCTATTGTGTAGAACCAAGCACTCTGAAAGCTTGGGAAAATACCCAAGCATCTTCCAGGCGGAAATTCACGCCACCGAGAAGTGTATCCAGTTTAACATCGAGAGAAACTATCGTAGACAAGAGATTATCATCATGTCCGATAGCCAAGCAGCCACCAAAGCGCTGATCTCTTATGAAATCAACTCATAAACGGTCTGGAGATGCCTAAAAAAATTGAATGAGCTAGGCAAGCAAAATAGAGCCACTCTCACTTGGGTCCCGGAACATAACGCGGTACAGGGTAACGAGATTGGATAGTCTCGCAAGGAAAAGGACTTAAACACCCTTTGTGGGACCTGAGCCGTTCTGCAGTATCAGCAGTAACATAATATTAGGAGAGACTAAAAAGAATTGAGCAGTAGAAGAACCGATAATTGGAACAATCTCTTCGGACTGAGACAGGCTAAGATACTTCTGGGTGAATATAACCAGAAAAACTCGGAAGCCTGCATCTGCCTGAGCAAGAACAGCCTACGTATTGTAACAGGGATACTTACTGGGCATTGCCGACTAAAAGGACACCTTAGTAAACTGAAAGTAGTAGAAGATAGTAAGTACAGATTCTGTGAGGAGGAGGACGAAACCTCCATTCACATTCTAACTGAATGTGTAGTACTCCATAATCCAAGTGCACTATACCTAGGAGCATATCAAATAGAAGTTGGAGATTTACCTAACTTGAAGCCACTCCAAATCCTACACTTCCTTGAGAAGATAGAATTGAAAGGGTCGTTATAGGCATTGAGACATTTCCTTGCTGCATTATTGACAGAAGGGGACACAATAGATCTGTTAGGTCGCAGTGTATTAACACCCCATTCCCCACATAGAATTGTGTAGAAAATATATACCATAATAAAATCAGGAACTATTATTATACTCTTCACACAGTAGCATGTGAAGAGTTATTATAGGTTTACGTCCGTCTGTCCGATGTCAAGTTTTTTGTCCGCACGATAAGTCAAAAACGAAAAATGATATCAACTTGAAAATTTCAGGAAAAATCGAACTCTATAAGGGGACGGAGCCTAATAATTTTGAAAAAATCTGATAAAAATAGGGGTTGAAATATAAAAAAAAATCCTAACTCAAAATCGAAAAATGGTTCAAACTTAAAATTTTTAGCAAAAACCAAGCTCTATGTATTGGAGAGGGTGGAAAGCACGTATATTTAATAGCGAAGGATGTTAATTGTTACGTCTTCGAAAAGTTCCCGTCCTAACCAATACAAGAGAGCAATTTGCAAGTCATTGAACGATTTATTTTAAAAACAGAGAAGTCAGAAGTACTTCTCACAATATAATTATGATTAAAAAACACACACGTGACAACACTGCATGTGTAGGAAAAAGCCGAATTTTTCTCAAAATTAAATAAAGAAAAAATAGTCAAAGAATTTACATGTGGTCACTTTTCAACACTAATTGTAGTTCTACTAAGTACAAAGAAAAATATGTAATTGAGCTCACATGAGTTCATATAGGATTGTTGTGGAAATAAACATTCTAATAATTGTTTCTGTAGCGCACAAAATACAAGATCGTTCTTCGTCGAGTAGTCTGGTACCAGTGGTACTACTGAGTAACTGATCGGGAATCGCGCTAGCTATTTTTTTGAACAGTTCCGTGTGTCCGAAATAAGTGCTAGATTTAGTCTGGAACCCGATCAGAGAGATACGGAAATATTTTATTATTATACAGGGAAGTGTTAGAAATTATGTCGCGCAGATGGATTTTAATTTTCAAATCCAACACTCTATAAGGAGAAGAATCCCTTTGATTTTGAAAAAAATCTTATTAAAAATGGGGGGTTTAAGGGGGGGGGGGAGGGTTGAAATTAAAAAAAAAAAAAACATAAATCAAAAATAAAAGCGATATCAACATGAATTTTTTTCGTAAAAATCAAGCTCTATAAGATGAAGCCTATTGATTCTGAAAAAAATTTGAATAAAAATAGGGGCTTAAGGGGGGTTGAAATATTTAAAAAATTCTAACTTAAAACCAACAAAAATATAAACTTGAAATTTATGCCAAAAATCAGGCTCTATAACGGGACAAATTCTATTGATTTAAAAAATCTTAATAAAAATGGATGTAGTCTTACTAGTTACGAAAATGTGGTATCTGATAAAAAATTGTGTACACTTTATTTTATGATTATTATGACAAAGGTCAAAAATGTATTATGAAATAAAGTTATTTAGAAAAATTGGCTTTCTGGCGTTTTTTCGTCAACAGTCAAAATTGTTAGCTTATCTGCACCCTTAAAATTTTATACAGGGTCTCCCAGAAAAAAATGCCATAATTCTAACCACGTACTCAGCGCATCAAAACAAACAACTTTTGTCAAATGAGTTTGTTTCTAATAGCCCTAGTAATCAAGATTTTTTTTTTAAATTTTAATTTGTTTTAGTTACCCGCCACTGAGGTTAATCGAGAAATATGAATAAGTAAATATTAGATAAACAAAAAATACACAAGGCATCAGGTTAAGCTACCATCACAGCGAAATTAATGCGGATTGAGATAAAAAAAAAAAATAGTAATCAAAAACCAAAAACGATATCAACATGAAATATTTAGTAAAAATCAAGCTCTATAAGGGAATAAATAAATAAATAAATAAATAAATAAATAAATAAATAAATAAATAAATAAATAAATAAATAAATAAATAAATAAATAAATAAATAAATAAAATAAATAAATATGTGGACATAAGATGGGTGGAAATATTGATAAAAATCCTAACTCAGTAATAAAACCGGCCAAGTGCGAGTCGGAATCGCGCATGAAGGGTTTCGCACCATCATACAAGATTTAATACTATGTAGGTACTTTTTAAATACTTTAGTAAGATCGAAAAAAAGTCAAAAAATACGTTTCTAGTAGGGGAGCCTCTTTTAGTTTTAATTTATTTTTATTTGTTATAGCGGCAACAGAAATACACATTCTGTGAAAATTTAACTGTCTACCTATTACGGATCATGAGATACAGCACGCTGACAGACAGATGGACGGACAGCTGAGGCTTAGTAATAGGGTCCCGTTGGTTACACTTTGGGTACGGAACCCTATAAAGGATCGATTCTGAAAAAAATCTTATTGAAAATGGGAGTCAAGAATGCCAAGCATTATATTCGTATCTTCATTCTAGTTTCCTAGTTGCTTTTTAAAAGGATAATCATTTTTTTACAAACCTTTGTTCCAAATCTATGCTTATAATGGAACCATCCCCACTTGAACCAATAAGATATTTTTTAGATTCATTTGTAATTAGATCACTTATGTAGTCTTCATTTTTCTTTGTTTTGTATATTTGTTTGTCACTTTTTTCTCGCAAATCCCACAGTTTTATTGTTCCATCGTCGTCACCTAAATAGAGTGATAAAAAAAACAATACATTATAGTTCTAGATAAAAATATCAAATATAATCTCAACTTGCACAAATGTAGTCAGATTTTGAGAAATAGTTATTTCAAAAAAGCAAAAGGGCTTAGAGCACACTACTGAAATGATATCCACATGCCAATGTCATTTTAAGACTGGTGCCATAATTTTAACGTACTTATTGCATCAAAACAAACAACTTTTGTCAAATTTAAGTTTTAAAAATTTACCATTTTTGTTTGATATGTGTAAACCCTAAAATAACCCCAACGAGCTGTCTGTGATAAAAGAAATAATTAAAATAAAATCTAGCAAAGTTTTTAATACATGATTTACAATGTTACATTTTTTGCTACAGGTCAAATGACTAACAGGCCGGACGATTATTTTTAATTTTAGTTGTGTACATGTCGATTAATAGCTTGCGGTTCGATTTATTTTGCTTCTTAAAATGCCGATTTTTACCAATAGTGAATAACATGGTGTTAGTTTAGAATGAGTAGAAACAAATTTTCATAGGCGTGTTCAATTATGCTTAGAATATAAAGGAGGACATTTTGAAAATTTAAAGGGCAAGGTAAAAAAACCAACGATGTCCCTTTTATATGCATTTTTAAGTAATCAATTTATTATGTTGGTGATACCGAGTCCCAAACACATACTTAATTGTAAGAGAATAAAACAAACGGACGTCCGAATAATAAAACATTTAAAAATAATAACAATGGTTAAAACCGGATGTTGTCCGTGCATTACTGGAAAAAAACCGACGTTGTCCAGGCTAAATACAACGATTTGAAAATACTAAAACGATTTTGTCACCCAAATATTAACAAATTTTACGAAACATTGTCATACAGGTGAAAATTTCTTTATTTTAGGTTAATTTTAAAAAGGAAATCATTCCTTTTTAACAAGTTATTTGTCACGTTTATTTTTTTAACCTGAATACAATAATCTTCCGTTTAAATTCTTTTGTAATAAGTTAACTATAAAGTAATAAATTACGTTAAAAATATTAACGTGGAGTTTTATTTATTTCTATGACTGTAACATAAGATTTGCTAATAATATTAAGTATAAATTCAATTTTCTCAGTAAGTCAGTTTTGTAACATCGGCTGTTTTTTCCCCTTACCCTTCATTTGTTATAAACTTGTGAAATATTTTTTGGGCATTTTTTTAAAATAAGGCTATAAAAGATTTTTTTTGGTAAGTCAAAAATTCTTTATTTCTTGATGTGCAAAGATTAATAAAACATTGTTTACATATTTAGTTTTATAACAGAACCAAATTTTATAGCACATAATATACCATCACAATGGAAATAATCTGGACCAGTAAACTGTATTTTAATCTAATTAACAAAATTAATCCGAAAAATAAGAAAGTGTATATTAATCACGCCTGGTATTATGAAATCTAAAAAGGTAAAGTTTTGTAATCAAGGCTACCACTAAAAAGTTAGGTATCGCACCTTTCAACCTTCATGAAAACAATGTAAACCATTTCTAATTAAATTTTATAATTCTTTTTAAAAAGCTACATTAAACAAAATTGTTGCTGCCCCAGATTAATTTCGCTGTGATGGTACCTTAACCTGATGCCTTGTGTATTTTTTGTTTATCTAATATTTACTGATTCATATTTCTCGATTAACCTCAGTGGCGGGTAACTAAAACAAATTAAAATTAAAAAAAAAATCTTGAATACTAGGGCCATTAGAAACAAACTCATTTGACAAAAGTTGTTTGTTTTGATGCACTGAGTACGTGGTTAGAATTATGGCATTTTTTTCTGGGAGACCCTGTATAAAATTTTAAGGGTGCAGATAAGCTAACAATTTTGACTGTTGACGAAAAAACGCCAGAAAGCCAATTTTTCTGAATAACTTTATTTCACAATACATTTTTGACCTTTCTCATAATAATCATAAAATACAGTGTACACAATTTTTTATCAGATACCACATTTTCGTAACTAGTAAGACTACATCAATGTGATGCGGTCCCTATATGCTGCATTAGATAGACGTAATTTGTGTGCCAAAGAAAAACATACAATTTTGACAATTACCTAATATGAGCTGTGATTGGTGGATTTCATATTCGTGCAGTGTTCTTACTAGGTAGAATGAATATATAAAATATATTCGTTCAGTTGAATGCAATGGCATATTTTTTCGTTTTGTAGAATAGCTAATACCCATGTGGGTGTAGAAAAAACGTTATTTTCTAGTTAATTTTTTTTTATTTATTTTGTAGTAGTATAGTATAAAAATACAACTCAATAAGATTTTTCTGTTTTCTACACAAAATAATGTCAAAAATTGCAATTTTATCTTTGTATAGTATCAGAATAAATTTGATTACAATATTTTTTGACAGCTTGTGAGAGGAACCTCACATATCACGGTGTATTCCGTATATCAACTTGGTTAACCGGTCTGGTTTTTAGTTTTTCAGGCTGGTTTGGCGTTCATTATCGATTTATGAAAATATTTATGGAATGAAAACTGGTCAATAATTATTGTCAAATGTTAACAGAAAAGATGTTTGTTTCTGTATTTTTGTTTAAAATATTTTACGTTTTTCTCTAAAATCTGAAAAAACTAGTGGTTATAAAAGTGGATTCTGAATGACTTGGAAGCAACCAAATATTTTTGGTGGTTAAGCATAACAACTAGTTGCCGAGAAAGAAATATGGATCCTTGGATAATAAATATTTCATTAGACCAAGAAATTAATAAAGGAGGTGTGTTTATTGATAAGATAATAGGAACTTATCAGAACTTAATAGCTGAATTATTTTTTCTATTGATTTGTTTTAGGAATAAAGTATAAGACTTCAGCAAAGGCTACTATTTCTTGCTTGCAATCTGTAAGGTGTGTTCCCCACATTACTTAGGCCTCAATAGCTCCGTTTTGCATCCTTCAGAGGCTAGGGCTACCTCTGAGCTTGCCTAAAGTATGCTGTCACCCTGAGACGTATAGGGACTACCTCTCAGGTCGTCAAAAGGCCTGAAGATCTGCTTGAAATAAAATTGCATAATAAATTTTGCTGTCTAGGCGAAATTTTAGAACTACGGCATTTTTTTTTTCAATTTCAAGCCAGTCCGCCAACAAATGTAACCATTTCCAAATGACTTCCGACTGGAAGGTTAAGTTGTTAAAAGCCTGATCTACACCACACATACAAGTTGTATTATTTTTATATTAACTTTGACAAAATTAAGCAATGAGGTTTATATCTCCATGTCCGGAACGTTATGGAAAATATAATTTATCATTTGGGACTTTTTATATTTTGTTGGTGGGCTGATATGAAATAAAAAAAATAGAAACATGTAGTTTTAAACTTTTATCAAGATAGCAAAATTTAATGTGCAATTTTATCGCAAGCAGACTTGCAGACCTTTTGATTATCTGAGAGGTGGTTCCTAGACAGCTCTCAGTGACGTTATATGAACCAGCTGAGAGGCAGGTCCTATTGAGGCCTAAGTGTCATAGGGGCCACCCCTCCTTACATATACAGATCGCAAGTAATAGTAGCCTTTGTTGAAGCCTTACTTTATTCCTAAATCAAAACATTATAAAAAATAATATATCTATTTAGTTCTTATATCTATTATCATATCAATAAACATACCTTCCATAAATTTCTCGGTCTATTAGAATATTTATTATCCAGGGTCTATAATATTTCTTTCTTAGCAACTAAATGTTACGCTTAACCATCAAGAATATTAGGTTGCTTCCAAATAACTCGAAATCCACTTCTGTAACCACTAATTGTTACAGATTTTACTGAGAGAATTCTGATTTTCTCAAAGTGGTAGTACAACTTGCTCTGTAGCAAATGTATGATGCAGGAATGGACTAAAATATGAATTGTGAATACTAGAATAGCTACTTTTCCCAAAGTTGTTATTACAGTTGCTATGAAAGTGGTAATATAGCAAGTTGTAAAAAAGTTGCCAGATAACAAATATAGTTACAGAATAGACCCCATTGAGATTAGAGATTAATAAAATAATAAATGGATGAAGCAGCACTATTTTTTATTTCATTAATATAATGGAAGAATTACTCCGCGGAAAACTCAGAGTTGCTATGGGTACCAAAATGTATTTCTTTAATAGTAATAGTAGTTTATTGCACTTATAGACACATACAGAAAATGTAAAAAGCTAGTAAAAAAACCGTTTTATTACAAATATAGTTATGGCCTGGTGAGAAGGGTCTGGAATACTGTTCTGTTATTTGGCAACCTACTTACACCTGTCATATCAACAGAATTGAAAGGGTGCAACGTAAATTCGTAAAATGCTCTTTAAACACCGACTTCATAGCCATAACACATGTTATCAAATAATTACGGTGCATTTATTGATCGCTTATGCAAGAACTAAAACACATTTTACTCGGACTGTTATATATTTAATTGTAATATTTTGGCGCTGAAAAGGGACTTGCTACTCCTGAATGTCTAAGTTTTACTCCTATCCTCCCGCGGTGTTGTGTTATTCTTCCTTCTTAATATTTTATATATATATTTTTTAATTTATTTTATATTGTTTTTAACTCCTACAATTATTTGTGTTAGGTTAGATATACTATACTATTGGAATTTTACATTCTGTAAATATTAATTTAGGAGTGGTTAAACATTTTGAACAAAATCATCAAGCACTAGCCCCTCGATATTCGTTTAGGTTGATATTTAGGAAATTAGGGTTCTAAATTACACAGAATAGTTATTACATTTTCTTTCATTTGTTTTAATGTGCCAGATTTAATGTCTACAGGCAGATGGTTGTAAAATTTTATGTATGAATATAACGCTCCTCATTCATAATATAACCTGGAAACAAAATGTTACTACTTTTAGTTAACAACAACACTTTCTGTAAACAATCCATGTGTTCCGTATATCACCTTGGTTAACCTGGTTAGTAAAATCGCGTTCCGTAAATGACAAATTCCTGAAAATTGTAGATTTACGGGACAATGTTCCTGAAATGCGGTTGGTACCAGCTGTCACCAAAGTGACCAAACTTTTTCATCGGTTGTTATGGTTGACGTTGACATTTGTGATAATCATGTGTCATATCAGTTAATTTGTTTTGAACTTTTTTAATTTTAGAAGAAGAAATATTTTAGCAATCGTAAAAACATCAAAAAATAATATCTAGTTCAAGTTCATAAATATAAAAGATATGCAAACATCAACATCCAACAAACAATGCATTGATTTGACCTTTGACATTTAGAAGCGTTCCGTAAATATTTCACTTATCAAAAACCAAAAACGAAACCGTCCTGAAAACGCTAGTAACCGCTTTAACCACACCGGTAATATTCGGTGATATACGGAACACACGGATAGTCAGACTTTAACCTCTTTAACTGCTAGATAAAATCGGTGCTTTTGGTCACAAATCTGTCAACCGATTTTCAGTAAACAAGTTTATTATACCAACCAGATTTCAGGAATCTGTTAATTACGGAACACGAATTTAGTAACCAGGTTAACCAAGCCGCTATATGGAATATAGTCAGTATCACCATCTGGTGAGCATTGAAATATTACCCCTCATTGAGCCATATGTTTTATTATGTGAATAATATAATAGGTTCTATTGTAATTGAAGCAGTTGATGTAATCTTGTCTTCCTTGTAGTGAATTGAAAATATACCTACCTAGTTCTTGTAAAAGCTTACATGATAATAGTAGAACAATCATTTAACAAAATTAGAACAATAATCATCAGAAAAATATCTTTTTTCAAGTTTCAAATAAGACAGTACAGTCAAAAATATTCAAGGCAACTTTTTCAATAATAGGTAATTTTTCATTTGAGTAGTTTCACTACTATTTCATATTATTGTAAGATACGAAACATAAATATTATAAATTAGTTTGCCATATCATCAGTGTAAACCGCAAAGTGAGTAATTCCATTTGGGAAAATTTTACAGTAAAGCCAAAAATCTAATTTAAATGAGAACACTTGAACTGATTAACTGAATTTGTTTTTATATAAATATGACATTGTATTACTAGATGGAAGTATAATCCATGCTTCTTAAAAAAGTGGAGTTATGCCCCTTGCAATTTACTAGGGTTGCTGATCAAAAAAATATTGATTTATGGGATAGATCTGGATAGAATGCAAAAGAATCGATTCACGATTAAATCAGACTAACAAAGAAAATTGATCCTGATTTTTTTTAATTTTAATTTTATTTATTAATGAACAATTTAGGTGTTCTGTTTAGCAAAATAAGCACACTAACCACTAACATCGTTATTTGTTACTGTGATTTTTAAATATCAGTTATTTTAAGTCATGACATGATCATGGTTTTTAATAATTACTCGTCCAGCTTATACTGATATATTATGTACTTTGTACATCCAATACATTATAATAGGAATAAGATCAATTGCAGGTGCACATCGTTACTTTCGTACACTTATGTTCAAGTTTTTTTATGAAATATGAACCTTATGAATGAATTTAAGGAACTATTAAGAATATAATAATTAGGAAAATGAGATATATTGTCATTAAATGACTAATAATTTATTAAAATCATAATTTGATGTTAACTCTACAGCACCATATTTCGATTAATGATCGAACTTTTAACAATAAACGAAAATAAACCAAAACTCAAATGTGATAGATATAAAATGAATTTAGCTCAAAGCCATAATATCACATAAATTTATGTGATATTCTGGCTTTGAGCTAAATTCATTTTAATAATAACTTGGTGGTTTTGAGAAATCTGTAAAACATTACTGAATATTCCAATGTTCGAACGAATGATTGCGAATGTCGAGAAGAAGACAAAGACGAAAATGAAAAATCACAGTTACACTTTGGTAACAACTTTAGCAACAGCCCTTATCTGCTACTTTTTAATAATAATAATAATAATAATAATAAATGTTTATTTATCCTTTTAGATCATAGTACATGATATAGGATAAGTCAGGTATATAAATAAAACTATAACTAAAACTAAAATAAATCAGGTATAAATAACATGGCATTATTGAGGGAGGTACTCATCTATACTGTACACACAATTATCTATTAAATAGTTTTTTACTTTCCTATCTGTATAAAGATAAGGAAAGTTTTTTTCGACCTCGAGTTTTTGACGGATTTTTACGTTTTGAGGTCCCCTGAATCTGTTTTGACTATTTTCGTGATGATGTCTGTGTGTGTATTCACCATAACTCATGAACCGATACAAAGAAAAACACCAAATTTTAAACTTAAGCTTTATTCCGGCGTCCAATGAACTGATTAGATTTTGGGTAGAGTCGGAACATCTGGGGGGTACTTTATAGGTAATCATTTAATATTTTATGGAATATATCTGTTATTTACGTTTGGAGAAGAAAATTCTTCAAATAAAAGTTACTTGCAATATCATTATCTCTATATTTTTGGTTCCATACAAAATTTTCCTAAAATGGTCCGTATTCAAGAAATTTGACAAAATGTAAAAAAAATAATTTTATATAAAAATTGTTCAAACAAAAGTTGTTTGTAATATAATTCTCTATAATTTTTGTCTTATACATAATTTCTCTAAAATGGACCGTATTCGAGATATTTGAGAAAAAGTGTAAATCTTGAATTTCGAATTTTGAAGAAAACTCAAAAACGGATAAAGAAAAAAACAATAAATTTTAAACTTAAATTTTATTTCGGCCTGACGTGATATGATTAGATTTTGGACAAAGTCGGAACATCTGGGGGGGTACTTTATGGGAGGCCGTTTTTATATTTTATGGAATATATCTGTTATTTATGTTTGGAGAAGAAAATTGTTCAAATAAAAGTTACTTCTAATATTATTATCTATAATTTTTGCTTTGTCAAATATTCCTGAAATGGTCCGTATTCGAGAAATTTGACAAAATGTGCAAAATTCTGATTTTTAAGAAAATTGTTGAACTAAAAGTTGTTTGGTATATGGATCTCTATAATTTTTGTTTATACAATTATTTTTCTAAAATGGACCGTAATGGAAAAATTGGAGAAAAAGTTCTAAATTTAAATTTTTCAGTATTTTCATTTTCAATGAATATCTATAGAAAAATGTTTCGAGGGAGATGTATGTGGAAAATGTATATATTTAGTTTATCCTCTAAACATTTATAGGGGTGTTGCGATAGGTTGTACAAAATAACCGGAAAAAGCCTATAATAACTAGATAGGAAAGTCATGTGTTGGACACATCAGATTTTTAATTTTGTTTTAAAAATATTATAGGGGATGGTTGTTTTAATCAAGAATGGAAGATGATTAAAAAGAGTAAGTCTAGAGTAGTGTGGGCTGAGTTCAAATAGAGCTGATGAATGTTTTGGAATACGAATTGCTTCATTGTTTTGAGTGGGGTAATTATGATTATCTTGATTTTTAGAAAATGATGAATGATTTTTTTTAACATACAGGATGGTTTTAAAAATGTATATGGCTGGGAATGTGAGAATATTATATTTTTTAAAATGATCCCTACATGTAGTTCTTGTTTCTAAATTGAAAATTAGTCTAATAATTCTTTTTTGATTAATAAAAACCTCGATTAAAACTCTTAAAGCATTTGTACAGTTTCCCCACAGAATAACGTTATAAGAGAGATAAGAATAAACAATAGCAAAGTATACCTGAAGAAGTTGACTAGTATTGAAAATATTTTTTAGGATTGCATAGTAAGCGCTGTTTAACTTTTTACAGATAAAATTGACATGTGAATCCCAATTCATATTGCTGTCAATCATAACTCCTAGGAACTTAGTTATATGAGAGAAAGAAATATCAGTGAAACAGTAACAGTTCATGAAATATCTCTCATCACTACTTTTGACATTGTGCCTGATAAATATGATCACAATGATCATTCACAATGTGTCTTGCACACTTTTGTTATTATTTGCCTTTATGCCTGTCCTATATTGCAAAATTATTAATTATTTGTATGTATTTGATATTATTGCCAAAAATAAAAGATGTCAATATTTTAGGTATTCAAATAATAATTTGACGTCAAAATTTGATAGTCTACTGATTCTAAAAAATCGCTTTTATAAAAGAATGATCTTCGATTAAATCAACCAAGAATCGATTCAAAAAATTATTTTTAGCATCAAAGAATCTATCTACTATAAGATTGAGTTAAGATCGGCAACCCTACGATTTACACTGATGGGAGATTTTACTATAAACAGTACTGAATATTATGAAATTCACTACAACGCTATGCCATTTTGTACAATCTGAGCCACCTATTTACCTGTTGCAAATAAATTTTCATCAATAACAGTTAAACAGTTAACAGCTACATCATGAGAGTTTTCATAAAATTTAACTAATTTTCCTGTTTCGACATCGCTCATCATTATTGACTTATCTTTTGAAGTAGAAAATAATATGTTTCCATCAGCACTGAATTCAATATCTCTACAAGCCCTAGTATGCAATTCTAAAGTACGTTCTAATATATTTTCTTCATTAGAATATTTGTAAAGTAATACATCTCCTACTATGCTTGCTACAGCTAGTAAATCGTTTTGAGGGTGGAATGAAATATCTGTTATAAAATCTTCACATTTTATATTAGGAGGGCGATCTCTTTCTTTTTGCGATTCTTGTCTAATTGCTTTAATCGTTTCATCTTCCTCTTCTTCATCTATGGGCTCTTCTATATCCGAATCAGCATTTTCAAATGCTGAACTTTCAAGAGTTTGTTCATTTTCCTCGTCTGATGCCACTGAATTAGAATCACTCATAGAAACGTCACTGTCACCGCTATCTGAAGTATCTCCCATGTCTAGAGATTCTTCAAAAGTATTTTCAGGATTTTTATTTTCACTTTTGCACATATTTTGATTAAACACGTTGGAAAATGGGGTTATGTTTTTGATTTTTTTTTTTGACAACTTTGACTTGCTGATATGCTGACAACTGACAACGTATATATGCAACCAATTTTACGTGTTCTTGTTGTAAAAATTGCATATAGTTAACCATCATAAGAACCGAATATTATTTTGTATAAATGAACTGCCAGTGGGAAGATATCAGGGCCGTCGCTAGACTTTTGGCCGCCCGGTGCAAGTTTTTAAATTGTCGCCCTTATGTTTGTAGATATTTAAAAAAAATGGCTACATTTAAATAATGTTTTTTAAAAAATATAACATGGTTAAATATATACTATATGTTACACATAGAAACACATACATTATACGTAGGCACATAAAAATTAAACTCTAAAAATCTGACTCAGACCAATTAACTACATAGGCGTATTAAAACTCAATATATCTTCGGGATTTTTTTTTCAGAAATCAGACTTATGATTGTATCATAATTTAAATTATTGACAATTTCATGTTCGATCGAGGTTAATGTCAATGTCAAACCAGTTAAACGTTCGTGTGACATATAAATGATTTTAAATAATTTTAGATTATTTTTAATTTTTAAAAACTTCGTTCGCTAGAAGCAACTGAGATGGGTAAATTAAGCAAACTTCTAAGAGGTATTACTAAATTAGGAAAATTGTTTTCTAAATTATTTTATTTTATATACTTAATAGTATTTAAAGGATTATTAGTTTGATGTTCGTTAGACATGCACAATCAAAGTCATAAATGAGAGCTGGGAGTGCGTTTAGAAACCCCGCACGGCGCGTCTGGGACCTATTCTAATGCATGTGGTCAGACGCGCCGTGCGGGGTTTCTAAACGCACTCCAGGAGTTCATCTTATGCTTCAAACCATTTATGTCACTATTTAAGCTATCAGCATCAAATAAGTATATATGCAAATCCATTTTTATTAAAAGTGGAAAGAAATTAAATATATTGTAAAGAAAAGAAAAATAATTTGAATGGATCTTTAAAAGTTCAAACCTTTCTTCTAAAGATTGAATTATTGTGACCAACACAACAAAAAATATATCAACCCTGAACTTTTGTTCAGGGTTTTGTATCGGTTCATCTTTACCTTCATACAAAAATTGCCTCGTTTTTTTTCTCGGACGAGCTTAAGATTCGGACGAGAATTACGCTTCGATTTCCAATTCACCAGCTAGTTCTCCAGCATCCACGAATAACTTTTTAAAACGGGCATCTGTTCGACAGCTTTAAAAATTATTTTTAAGTGATTCTAAACATTTGGCAAATTTAGTAAGATTAATGTTGGTATATTGGATCAATTTACTTACGAGATTAATTTTATTTAATATATCGAGAATGATGAACACCAAGAAATCAACCCAGTAAACCACAAATAGTCGGCATTCGATTGGCCTGACAGCGGTATGTTCGATTAGCCGAATACTCGGATTGCCGTTATCGGGGTTGCTTCTGAGCCGGGAGGGCCGTACCTTTTGACGTAATTTAGAAGTAGAAACCGCATGTGGTCCATATTTGGCTTTCCAGACATGTGATGCAACCTTACGGGTTGAACGCGGTGAATATTTGGCTAGCCGGGCATGGGAGGCATTCTTACGGGCCGAACTATATATAGATATATAAACGCGGCTACAATGTAGTGGGCTGCCGACATTCGGCTGGGCGGACATGCTCTACCTATATGCCGAAACTGCACTCGTATATCGGGCCGAGTTCGGCATCCGACAAGCCTCCTTCGGTCCAGTTACGGTGCCGATTAACTGTGTTTATTGGGAAATTTTCTAATTTTTTTGCAAAACTATCAGCTTCGTACCTTACAGTAGCATCATAGGAAAAATCATCCACAATTTCTACAAAAGATCATAAATTTCTCCATTCTGATATTTTAACGGTTTAATAGCGTCAATAAGAATAATTTAATTATTTAAAATTAATTCTGATGCCTTGGTAGGATTTCACACTCGACCATTCACTGTTGGGTACTAATTAACAGTGCTGTTCCTAAAGTGGCGCTGGGAAACAGTAACAAAGCCTACACAAAACACGAGGCTAATAACCGTAGCAGTTGATGCCGATGAAACAAAAAAAAAAAAATAGCGTCAATGCGGCTTTTCATTCGTGTATCACTTAAAGGCTTCAGTGTAAGGTTATTTTTTCTTTAAGCATTGCCCATCTTTATGTGGAAGCTGAGAGAAATACATAAATGGATTGAAAAGAAACCTATAGTTTCAAAAGTTTTTTTAATGGCTTCGTTAATCACAAGATTTAGCGAATGAGCCGCACATGGAACAAACATTGCCCTATTATTAAGATCAAGAATTGTACTACAACGTTTTTTCCCCGCATGTTTGCGCCATTATCATATTATTGTCCTCGTAAATTTTGAATATCTAGGCCTAATTCTTTAATTTCTGATACAATTACTTCCGTTAATCCTTGTCCAGTAGTATCAATTACTAATCTCTATATCTTGTGTTGACTGAACTTCTTAAAAAAAAAATCGAAATTGATGTCCTTATTGATTTCTATAAACTAGGATCGTCAATTATTATGAAAAGTTTTTTTTTTGATAAAACTACTGTACTAGAGTACGAATTTATGAAACAAATTTATTTCTTATATAATAAATAAAAAAGATATGTCCAAGAAAGTACCCTAAAAATCATTCCCTCACTATGTCCCAACTGCTGAATTCGAAGATAATTAATAACTTGAAACATAAAATTCTTTACTAATTGTTTGTTATCTTATTTTTTAACCGACTTCAAAAAAGGAGGAGGTTCTCAATTCGTCGCAATATTTCATTTTATGTATGTTCAGTGATAATTCTTTAACCCTGTCCGATTTCACTAATTCTTTTTTTGTTAGAAAGGGTGTACTTCAGGGGTGGTCCCATATAAATTTGGTCAAAATATAATAATTGGGTCCGTGAAAAAATCCTCAAACTCTTCATTTTTTATGTATGTTTATCGATAATGCTTTATCACCTTGTCCGATTTATATGATTCTTTTTTGTTAGTAAGGGGATACCTCAGGAGGTCGATTCTCGACTCGTAGGAATTTTTGACATTTTTCTATATGTAGGAAAATGTCATAAATTTTCGATGTATATAAAAATGTCAAAAATTCCTATAGGAAAATATTCCTACGAGTCGAGAATCGACCCCCAGGGGTGGTCCCATATAAATTTGGTTAAGATGTGCTAACGGCATCTGCACGTTTTTGAAGTCGGTTTTTTTAAATTTTTAATTTCTAATACTTGTTACTTATATAGGATAGTATTGACTGTACCTACAGTCAAATACCACAATTGTAGAGAGTGACTCACATTTTTAACATAGACCTTTGCGGGTCTGAGAGATAGGAAATCGACGAGTCATAGGCGTGCGGTTATTATTAAAAATGATTTTCCGCATTTTACAACGAATTGGTTGTCATAAAAATTGTTTTCCTATTTTAAAGATACACAAGGTGATTCGATACACCTTGACATAGTGTCATTTAATGTTTGGCAGTCATCTGCTGTAAAACTGTTCCAAATTTCTTGAAGATGGCTTCGCAATTCTAGAATGGTTCTTGCGGGATTTGTTCTGAGCTTTTTTCCCTGATATATTACAACGTTTCAATATGCCGTGTGACAAGCGACACCATCTAGCTGGATGATACATTCCATATTATTTAAACCCATTATTTCAATTTGGGATTTTAAGTTATTTTAAAGCCCATTAATGTATTTATCAGTATTCATAATACCTTCCACAAAGTGTAAGTTTTCCTTTAGCTGATATGGCTCCCCAAATCATAACAAAAGCCGGAAACTTAACTTTCTTTCTAAGACAGTCATTCTGAAACACTTCTTCTTTTGTTCTTAGGACACGACTCCTATAATCAACAATGCATACTTTAAATCTGGCTTCATCATTCCAAACAATAGAGTTCTATTGGTGTGGAGACCATAACTGATGGTCTTTTCCTCACGCTAGTCTATTTTTCTTCTGAAACTTTGTCAGTAAGGGCTTCTCTTTTGCCTATGAATTATTGAATTCAAAACAAACAAAAAGCAAAAATTAATCAAGCATACCTTGTAAGTTTTAAATCTCAGTTTTTTTGGCAGCTCTGTGACAAATTGTTTGGAAAATGTTTTTCCCGTTGCCTGATTTCATAATATTCTCAATTAGTTATAATTAGCACGCTGATTTTACTTGATAATCCTTTTTAAAGCTCATAAGTTGGAATTGGAATATTGCGAATAATTTCCAGTTCTCGCTTTTTGAGCTAGATATCCAGTTGTTTGGCAGTTTAATAATATTTCGAACTATATCTCGATTTATTAACACTGTCAGCGATTTGACCCTTCAAATGCAAGTGAATTACCACTTTCCTTATTTCGTCAGAAACAGCACAAAGTATAGATATAAGGAGCCCGAACGTAAAGGTACCATTTGGGTAGGCGCGTCAGGAGACAAGCGACCAGTGAAGCGACCCAAGGTCGAATAGGAAGACAGATGCATAAATAGCTTTGTTCGCGGTAACAATCCTGAACCGAATTATTACTAACAGTAACGCTTTCGCAGGCGCAGTAGTTAAAAGGCGTTCGCGGAACAAAAAGAACTGAACTATTGGTTCTATCCTGCGTTCGCGTTGGGTTTGGACCACTTGTCTATACCTGAAATACCGAGATATAATAGGGATTGCTGGCGCGGTAAAAATTCAGAATTGATAATGATTCGAGCATGCGCCCAAAGTGTGAATTAGTAATTCTGAATCAGTTCAGGATTGTTACCGCGAACGAAGCTAATGTTACTCTTCGTACATTTGGCAAGCTTGAGAAGTGTCGCGCGACATTTACAGGGATAACCATTCGAGGGTAAAATCAGCGTTGCCAGACCTACTGTTTTCACGTAGATCTACTGTTTTTGTCTCTAGCAAATTTTGTTCTTAATTTATTAAGTTTGCCTCATTCTTCAGCAAATGGTTAAAGAATATTTTCTCTAGTAAATTTTCTGCAGTAAAAGCAGCGTAATAAGCAGCCACTATTGTAGCTTTGTTTTTATTTAAACTGCAACAAAGAATTAATAGGACAACATAAAAAGAAT